GTTTTAATTTCAATCAAGAAATTCCACTTTTTAATGTTGATTAATTTTAATTTATAAGAGTTGGTTGTTTATTTTATAATTAACATGGTTTAAACAATATTTATAACTTAGAAATTTATAGTTTAAGCAAATTTGAAATATAAACATGGTTTGTAAGCACAGCTATGGCTTAACCACTATTCGTATAACACAAACAATAGAAAATGTTAGAACAGATATTTTATAAATTGTCATTTTAGCTTTTATAAAATTGTTGATTCAAAGAAATGTTTACTTTTTAAAATTAAAATGTTTATTACTGTGAATCCATTGTTACTATACATGATGGTAGTTTCTCAAACTGGAATAGCATGAATCACATACTGATTTCAAAGTAACGGTAAGAATCAGATTATAAATGTATTCCAATCTACACATTAAGATGTAACAAGTAGTTTGAATTATTTAAACTTCTTTTTAAAAATACATTTTATCATTAGATTTATATTAAAATCGTTTTTATAAAAATTAATTTCTTGTTTTGTTTGATTCGTTTATAAAGAACTAAAATATATCCTATATTTCCTTCATTAACATAACTTTTCAGTCTATGTTTATCATTGAAAATTTAATGAATTTAATAGATTATTTGGTTATGGTTATTTATTAATTATAATAAAAATAGTTTTACATGATTTAACGAGTAACTTATACCTTATATTTCACCATAAGTTTTGATTTCACTGATTGCGAGGGAAGAATACATGAATTGTGTGGTCAGTATAGCCGCCTGTTATCGCATTGATTGCTTAATATCTGGATTTTGCTCAAAACGATTTCGAGTTAAAAGTTAAGTCAAACTATATATTAAGTTATAGTTTGGATTCTTTGCTTCTTTGCATTTCATTGATCAAGACTTCAAACATTGAAATTCAAAGAAAGTCTATATTATAGGAAATAGTTACCAAATTCTCCAAATATATATCAATATCTTTATAAGCATTATTTCTATATTAAATTTGATATTTATCCCAAAGAATTTTGTTTAAAATATCAGTTTCACTAAAGTTTTCATTTCAAATATTTAAGTAAACCAATTGTTTTAAATTGTAATACAATTGTTAAGACTTTAGAGTAAAATTAAATGTTGACAATAGTTATGGCATTTCTTCTAATGGTTTTAATGGCTGTCGTGTCTTTGCCTCTTAAAACAGAGGCTAAATCTTTTAATATATACCCAAAAGCAAGTGTTTCTAACATTAATCAAGAATTGCTATCACGACTCTCTTCTGTAAGTATTTTAAAACTATTTGTATTTCATATGATTAATGATTATTTGATATGTAAACGTTAACATTTACATTACATAACGTTAACATTCATGCCATTTAATCTAACGATTAACTAATTATATTTATATTTTATGAACATTTTTTGATTTAATTACATTTTGTGACTGATTTCTATGTAAAACAGCATTTTGTTAATAGAGATTAATAATAAAGTTTGATTAAATGATTGATCATGCATGATTTGAACTACAAATATTAATTTATATAACAATTTAATATTAATTTTACAATGTATTGCAATTGTATACTTTGTCACTACTTAAACATAACGTTTAAAAATGAAATTATAGAAATTCAAACTTAAAATTAAAAAAGTTTGATTTACCAAATGTTAAACCCTAACAGTTCGAGTATTAAAGGCCTAAATAAAAAAATAATAAATTTCAACAATAAAATCTAATTTCTAAAAACTAATTTCAAAAAATATCAAATTCACGAATTGATAGAAATATGAACTTTGTGAAACTACAAATAAAATATGTCATTAAATGACAAATATTGATAAAATCTTCCCACTCTTACTATTACAATGTTTGCTACAATACACAAGAATATAAAGTATTACATTATTGTGCAATACATTGTCTATGAATATGTAAATTGTAAAAATCATTTAATTTAATAAATTTATTATTCACTGGTTATTAATATTTAATGTATTAAATATTAGTATAATTATTAAGGAAATTATTATTGAATACAACTGAATAATTATCAATAAATGTATTGATTCCTGCAATAAAAGTACATTCAAAGAAATATGTAGTGTTAGCCAAAAAGAAATTTCTTACAAGAAAACGGTAACTTTTAGAGTTGTCTAAATTGACATTAATTCAGTTGTAAGTGTAGATTAGGCAAAATAAAAAATAATTTAAATATCTCGGGCTGATAGCCAGAAATCACTGAGTTATGGCCATTTTTGTGTTCGCGTGTATACGGCGTATAGCATGCAGTACTGATGCACTGTGTTAAACATAATTTTTCAATGCTATACGGCCAAGCATAAAATTATAAGTGTGTATATTTATTAAACTAAATCTCTGATACAAACCACAAATTTAAAAATAAATATCAAAATATAAGTAAAAATACTATTTTTACTATTAAAATACACTATAAAATAGGACCAAATGTGGGTACTCTCATATATAAGTTAAGAACGATTCCCATAGAATATAATGGGTTTCCCATAGACGCAGTAATTTTTGGAAATTTCTCGTTTTGGTCAAAATTAATCATATGATTCTTTTTCAATTTTATAATTTATATAGATTAATATTTTAATATTTCAAATAAATTAATATTCTAATATTATACTTGTTTTAAAATTAAGCAAGATTAAGTAATAAAGTAAATGAATTGAACATAGGATTTATAGCATGATCTTTTTAGTCAATAGCAAAAGTATTTGTATTAAAGTTAACATACAGTGGAGTAATATGTTTACTAAATTATACAATACATTATTATTATCAATTGAGTCATATATTTCATTTACGGCATAATTATCAAAATACTATTGTCTGCAGTCATATGAATCTCTTTGAGTAATTCAAAAAAAGCTCTAATATTTGTAATATTGTATATATTTGTGTTCATTTCATTATCTCGTCTAAACATTCAATTACTCAAATAAAATAATGGTTATAAATGTTCAGTGGGTTGAGCTTTTTAAGCATTAACTTTGCAATTTATAGTATTATAGTTAACTTTATTCCAATTAAATCTATCAACAAAAGCTTATTATATTAATTTGATTGCATGTGTTTTGTGTTAGTGTTAATAACAACTTTATTTTTAATTTTAAAAATATTTGCAATCTTTGATTATTAGTAATGAAAATATAATGATTGCTAAAAATTGAGTAATTCTATTAACTATTCTATTCGGGGTAATAATGGTCTGATAAACACGTCAATGAGTGTCAACTAAAATCTAAACGTTTAAAGTGAAAGTTATTTATTGCTTAAAAGTGAGCAAATAATGAAAATTTGTGGACAAAATTGTGCCTTTAATGCGAAAAAAGATTGACAACAAAATTGCTAACAATGAGACTGAAATGTATTGAGCATTGAGTGAAAGCTATGATATTAAATGAAGTTAAACTTATTGGAAATTCAGTTATAGGTGTTTACTCTTTAAGATTAAATACTATTTTTCAAATATTATATATAAATTTACAACTCTATTAGTTTACAACAAATATCCGGATTTTTATCCACATTATCGGTGGAAATTTTTTTTGTAAATCTCATGTAAAAAACATTTGGTTTTCAAATATAATTTATTTGTATTGTTACTATTCTCTGGTAGAATAATAAATGTTTTTATTGATTGAGAATAGTTTTAATAAGTGTTTGTTAATAATAATAAGATGTGGGTTTAGTTTTATTACCAAAATTTAAACAAATATATTAGGAATTGAATGAAAAGCAAATCCGTCTTTACTTTTAGTGACATTTGATGGACAGATATTTAATCTGATTTTGATTGCAATTCATTACTACACGAATAGATACTTTTGTGAAATTCGTTTAAGAAATGTAATTTGGAAATAAAACTTGCCTAAAAAATATACTTCTCTCAGACATTTATCATGTTGTTAGTGGGCTCTCATTTAGACTAATCTGATTTTGCAGTTTAATTTACTCAACACTTTTCTATTCAGTAGTTTTTATTATAAGTTTACTTTTCAATTATGCTTTTAGTTAAATAAACAATAATTTTGTAAACTAGTAAACAGTAATTCTTAGGCTATTCTCTTATTTGTAATTCTAATGTTTATAAGAGATTACAATACAATGAAAAGTGCTTTAATTGTAGTGAATTGCTAACACATTGAATAGTTAATCAAATGTTTTATTTTGCCAAAATATTTACTTATGATCATTTTAAAATGTTTAGCAAATAGTGACAATGGTTTTTAGCATTATCTTTGTTTAAACATTAACAACCGTTTAATTCAACAAAACTAAATTAAAGCAAGTCTTGAAACTATTTAATTGCATTCATAAAACTATTAAAGACAACAATTCTATTCAATGTTTTTATTTATCAAACAACTCATACACAGCTATGCTATACGTTAACCACAATTCGTGTGATGCTTAAAGTATATATTAGTATTATATACAGATTTAATATGAGTCCTATAGACTTGCCATAGACTTAGTATTATCCATAGACTTAGCACTGTCCATAGGATTAGCATTAGTCCCATAGACCTAACATTACCTATACTATGGGTCCCATAGACTTACACATGTTAAACCTCTTTCATAAACTAAAGCTGTAATTCTATAGAAACAAATTGAAAATTTTCCCATAGGATTACCATTGCCATCAACTTTACTTATATTAATCCAATGTCGTAGACTTAACATTAGCCCTATGTTAAAGTATAGACATAGACTTAAGCTGTAATTCCATGTTAAATCCCATAGAGCGGGGGGACGGTTATATAAACCACATTATTCTATGCAGAATTGTGGTTAAAAATAATAAAGTGATAAAATTTCAATAAATTGCTTGTTTTATTAGTGGGCAGACAGTTAAACATTTAAGATTTTTATAATAATATTTTACCAAAAAATGTAATTAATATTTGTGTTAATCTTTTATTAAACAAAGGCATTAAATATTATATTCTTATATAATCTATTAATTAAAGTAAGTTGTAATGCGATATACAGTAAAAAGAAATATATTTCTTTGAATATTAATACATGAAATTAATATTCTATCTAATAATAAAAATCTTACAAAAATTAATTTCCTTTGCAATTAATAAATGTAAATTGTAATTCTATAATTAATCATTAAGCAATATTGTTATATGTAATAATTTAATTTGTTCAAATTAATTGATTGACAAGAGATTATTTAATATAATCAATATTATTTTATGATTTTTATTATTGTCAAACAGTATTTAAAAATTGAATTAGATATTTGTAATGTCATGTTTTTTAAATATTATTAATATAATCAAAAATAGATTGATTTAATACACTGTCATAGCATTAAAATTGTTAATATAATTAATAATTACAACAACAAAAATCTTCTAAAAGAAAAAATAATAATAATTAATAATAAAATTGATAGATCAAATGTCACTTAACACAAATGTAATTATTATGTCAGTAGTTTTCCACTACAATAGTATTTTGGTCTACATTTAATCTACATTGTAATTTATACGGTTTATTCATTGCTTCAGCACATTATTGTACATTAATTGTACTAAATTTGTTAGTATTTGAATTTGAGAAATTAATAGCCAAACAAAATTTTAAAGTATTTAATATAGACCTGTGCGGACCCATTGGACGTATACTATGCTCTATGAGATTTTGTTTGGTTATTAATTCCTCAAATTCATTTGTTATTTACAATATTTTTTACATTACATGGACCAAGGTAAATGAGTTAGAGCTCAATAGGTCACATACCACTTGATTCAGGAATTCGCTGTACAATTGATATACAACCTCATTCATCTCGGTTGATGTTAACTATTTAAGCTGATTATATTTTATGTTAAAACTATATTTGTTTAAAAACTGTTTTTGAAAAGTAAAGAATTGAATATTGAAATATAGGAACCGATGGACAGAATGTCTGTTGAGTCCAATATAAGGCGTTCGTCACCAATGAAGAGGTCGACGATGTTATTGAATAAACTGATGCACGCCTTGCATAAGGCGCTCGACAATGAGAATGAAGAGGTGGACAAAGACACACCCGATCCCGATATAGTGCCAGTAGTTGTCGACAACTATCCAATGGATTTACACCGAAGAGGCGAAGATAGGATGACTCGCTATTGGCGCTGCTATTTCAATGCCGTCTCTTGTTTTTAATGTTTCGGGCCATCCGTCGGACATATACTCTATTATTCCCATTATTTTCATTATCAAAACTAATTTTAGTCTAATTTCCTGCTCTTTATTCACATATATTTTGTCAATTTGTATATTTAATTGTTTATTTGTCTAAACATTGTTATTAAAGAAAATATTTGTCAAAAGATTTATTAATAATTAAAAGTCATTTTTAATTTTGAATGAAAGTCATTTACTGCACAACATTTCGTTTTCTTT